GGGACAGACACCACCCACCAAGGGGCAGACACCACCCACCAGAGGGCAGATAGCACCCACCATGGGAAGATACCACCCAACATAGGTGGACACCACCCACAGGGCACAGATACCACCCATGAGGATAGACACACCTTTGGGGCTTGCTGAGAGGTGCCAGTTCAGAGACAAGTCTCTGCCACCAGCTGCCTCTCCCACCCTCATCCTGGTGATTTAAGAGGACGATTGAGGGGGTTGCCACGTGGGGGAGTGCAGAATTCAGGGAAGGAGCTATTACTCCCCTCTCCTCCCTGTGGGGTAAGGAAAGAGAAATATTTCTCATGCCTCACATCAAGTGCTCTGGTGACCGTATCTAAATGTGGCCGAGGGACTGGCACAGAGGAAGGTGCAGCGCTGCTGCTGCTGGAGGGACAGGAAACGGGGGCTGAGGTGTGGCAGGTGAGCGAGGGTCCAGGGCTCTCCTCATTATCTCTGAGGGGTGAGGACAGTGGGCGCACATGAGCTCACTGGCAGGTGACACTGGGCTCCAGACCACTGGGGACACAGCTTGGCTTGAAGCATACACTGCGGCCTGAGGGGTCAGCTGGAAGTTGGGGCCCAGGGCTTGAGGGACCCCCAGTTCCTGGGGAGACCCATCATTTGTCCCCCTTGAGCCCCTGGCCAGTGAGCTAGATCAGTAGGATCAGCCGGACAAGCAGAGCCCCGTGACCTTTCCAAGGGCAACACCTAACACAGGGGACCTCCATCCACCCCCACCCTGCCCCTTCCTCAGAGGGTCGCAGAGAAGGAAGGGAGGAGGGAGGGAGCTGAAAGCAAAGGCCCAGCGCCCAGAGCCACAGTCTAGCCTGGGGTGGGCAGGGGGGACAGCCTTGAGCAGATTGGGGTCTGCAAATGAACCCAGAAGGAAAGCACCATTAAGAACCAGAAGAGACCAGAAAGGACACTGCTCGGTTCTTCAGCACGGGATGGAGCCAGGAGTCCTAGCACAGTAGGGGCCAGTGGAAAAGTAAACATAAGCCCTTGAACTCCGTGCCTGCTTCTCCATCTATAAAATGGGGATGATAAAAATAACACATACCTCCAGAAGAGCTGTGGGGATTAACCACTGATCTATGCACAGGGCTGGGGATAGTGCCTGGCGCCCAGGGAGTGCTACAAAGCCTAGCTGTCAGTCACTGTCAGTGTTGTGACTTCTTGGTGCATCAGTTAGATGTTTCTTCTCACTTGGTACAATGGCGGATCTCTGTGGTGGGACACTCTGCTTTCTGTGAGGGGGCCAGGCCACAGGACCTCTGGTACCACACCTAGCCTCCACCTCAGGGCTTCTGGCAGCCCTATCTCACCAACCCCCAGGGGGCTGTGACAGGCTTTGCCGGGAAGACGGGGCAGGGATGTCCACAGGGAAGTGTGGACAGCATTTTGCTTTAGACACAGCGCTGGATGCTCCGTGTTGGGGAGCCTGGCACCCCCGGCACACCCCTAGCAGCACGGAGGTCATGCCCAGCAAACTTCAAAAAGTGGGATTGCAAAGAGCACCAGGAGAAAACCTTCCACAACTTTCTCACAGAACCTTCGGGTGGGTCCCTGCAGGGCACTGTTTTCCACTATCCACTTGAGTCTCAGCCCCTTAACTAAGGCCACCTTACCTCATTAGAGATTCCTCAGTGAGGTTGCAAAGTATGAAATCCAGAGAGTGCTTTTCCCCGTTCAGTCTGATCAGAGGCTGACAAGACCGTGCATCGTCAGCTCTAACAGCCCTGTGTGGTTAAGACCAGGTCAGTTTTACAGGATAGAAGCCCATTTAGAAAATGCTTGGGCTCCGGGCAGCATGCAGCCCCTATAGGGTGGGCAGTTGGCCTGTTAGGGAAAAGACAAAATCTTCCCTGGACACAGGGGTCCCGTTCTGCCCCCGAAACAGTAAGACATTCAGCCAGGGCCAAGAGGTGAAGTTCTTGTTTATTGTTGCAGCAACTCTTATACAGACATTAGCGTTCAGTTAAATAAAGGAAGATAGCACATTAAACACATCACAACCCCAAAGCAGACGACTGCGGCCACGGGACACAGAAGGGAAGGGAGGGCCGGGCCCGGTGACCAGAGTGCCACAGGAGATACATTCAGTGGGTGTGCGGTGTCCACATTCCAGGCTCACGTGTAGATATATTTTATATATTTATTTATATTTCTGTATAGAGATCATTGAGTTTTGTGTATACAAAGAACAATATTGTTACAAATACAATACTCTACTTCTCCTGACGCTTTACAATAAGCTCTATTTCATCCTCTTTACAGAACAATAGTACAAGTTCGGACTCTAGGTGCTCTGCCAAATATGTACAAGAAATTTCATCCCCACGCGGTCCTCACGCACTGCCTTGATGGAGGGAACGAACGTCAGTGCTCAAGGTGACCTGAGCCAGGGAAGGCGCAGAGACACGGGGAACTCTAAGCAAGTGGCCTTGTGAACATGAGAGTGAGTACATCGAAGAGGTGGCCCTTGGTTGTAAACATCGGTAACGGCTACACCACGGGGTCGAGAGACCCGAGAAGGGCTGTGGGTGGTTTTGTTCAGTGTGCGACAGGGAGTGCTGGGTGTGACAGGGGCTGTGGGGCCAGGAGGAGCGATGGGGGAGGTAGTAGGTTACTCTGGGACTCCCTGAAGGCCGTGTTGAAGGGCAATATTCAGAAAGCAAACCCGTCTGCAGGGACGCAGCGTCCCTGTGATGTGCTGTCCCCCATGGAGCCTGCTCTGGTGAGGGGGGAGTTGTCACATGAGGAGTGGGCTCCAGGCGTTGGTCTCTGGGGGTTTCTTCCTCTCGTGAACCCAAGGCTGACGGCGGCTCCCTGAAATGCTCACACTGGAGAAGGCAGAGGCAGGGTGGGTTCTGGTGCCTCCTGGCTGGCCCAAGAGGGGGAGGCGAATCTGGGAGTCTGTCCCCAAAACTGAGTCACCAGCATGTCCTAGCCAAGCGGCCAGAGTGGCTCTGTGCCCTGGCAATGTTTGAGAAGGCTGCTCTGTACTAGTCTTCCCCACTCTCCGGGGCATTTAGATATTTACATATATAACTATATATATATTGGGATGTCAGAAGGGAAGGAGACCACCACTTGTCCTGGGACTTTCAAAAACTCAGTGCTAACATTTAAGACCCCAGGGTTAGCCACAAAGGACTAACTCCCTGCACCTAATGGCAGCAGGGGAAGAGAACACAGGTCAGCCGGGTGGGCCCGCACCAAGTGCCAGCAACTTGCACTCTCTGGGTGTGAAGAACCACTTTTATTAATGCAAAAGAATGTGGTGCATCAACTTACTCATGCTAAAATATGTCAGTCCTCTAGGAGAGCTTACAAAATTGGCTTTTCAGCACCTCTCAAGGTTTCTAAGGTTTTTGTGCAACAGGAATACGAAGTGTATTCTCTCGTCGGGGTGAAGGTACTTAATTGTAATTATCTCGGGGTTTTATAGGGACGTGCTAGTGGAGTTCCCACCCCCTGGCCAATCGCAGTGGGCTTCCGTGGTGCTGTCCAGGTTCTTGGGCAGGTGGCCTGAGGGGCCACCCTGGCAGCAGACCGGCACGAGCCCTTCCGATGATTTCCCGAGGCTCCTGATGCCTGGGATACCACCACTAACGCTCCATCTCTGTTCTGCCCGCGCTCCCTTTATGGAAGAGGAAAGAAAAACTGATGACTCTCTAGTATTTAATTGTATCATCAGACAGTGTACAGTTTGGTTATTTCAAGAAGGGCAAACTGAGAACTGGGCTGTGGCCCCTGCTCTTCAGATGGGGGTGGTTCGGCTTCTTCCAGCAGCTGACCGGGGAGTATCCTTAACGGAAGCCCAGCGACCTGCAGCGCCCATCCCGGCCTCGCCCCACACGGCTCCCTGGAGAAGCGTCAGCCCCTTCCCAGACAGGACGCTCGGGCAGCCGCAGCCTCTCTTCATTAGGGCTTTTTGTCCCACAGGAAAGCTGAGAGCCCAGCTGCTGATCCCCTGAGGCATCCAGCTTTCCTGATTCTAATCAGAAAACGTAGAGATCCCAGGGAACTGAGCGCACAGCTCCCTGGTTGAAGTCTCCTGTTCCTCTTCTTCTTACATTCACTTTTCTCCCTCCCCAAATCCCTCCACTCTCTGTATAAATACATCCTACCCAACACTTGCTCACTGAATTCCTGTTTCCACAGACATAACATAAATATCCCAGATGCAGAGAACAGGGACTATATTAATATTACAAAATATATTAGTTTCTCTTCCCTGTCTCTACTGAGGTCATGAATGAAACAAAACAAAAACAAAACCACACCCCATGTGAAAACAAAATGCTCTTTGGACTAAGAATAAGTGAAAACTGGCTCAGAATAATATTATTAAAACATCTGCACACTACTGAGACGGAATCCATAAATATGAGGCACCTGATGAAAACACAGACCATTCCACACCAGCTGAAAACTCAGACCCACGAGGCAGAGGATGACGTTTCTGTAATGCATTTGGGGATATTTGGGCATAACTTGAGGTCACTATTGTCCCCTTCATCTTGTGGCTTATGTACTGTTCTGGCCTTTCAAATATCACATCTGGCCTAAAGGCCCTGAGTAGAAGCACTGGCTGGTCCCGCCTCGGGCCAGGAAACAGGACACTATTGCACGTGATCCTTGTCCTCCAGGGGAACAGTTACCCGACTCCCAGTGCATGTGTGGACGACAAGGGAAGTCCAGCAGGAGGCTGTGTTGAGCCCAGGAGGGCGCTTGCAGTGGCATGCCAGGCCTCCCAGAGAGGGCCTCTCTCTCAGGACAAGGCTGACCAGCCCCGTGTGCCTGCCAGGGGCAGGGGCCTACCAGAGAGACGTGGCGGATTTTCCAGGGGCTCTCTGTGCCTCAATTTCAGCTTGCCTCATTGGTCGTGGGGAGGAGGGAAGGGTGATATACACATGAGATTGTGTGTGTGTGTGTGAGTGGTGTGAGTGTGTGTGTGTGTGTGTGTATGTGAGAGAGAGAGAGAGAAAGGCAGATAGGACCTGCCTGTGCTTATCTAATGGTTGGCGATCCTGGGATAAGCTGGCGAAGCCTTGGACGCCCCATGAACTGCTGAGCTCTCTGCCACATGACGGTCTCCTTGTCCAAGGCAGTTACTGCCCCTTTGATCCTGGGTGAGAAGGCCCATATTAGAAAACACATAACATGGAAACTAAATGTAGCTATAGAAGAGGTTTAAGGCCGGCTCAGAAATTCTGGGCAGACACAACGTGTGGTACCCCAACGACCTGGCGGGCAGTGCAGATGCCCCTGACCCTGGGGCTGGTCCCCGTTGCTACCACATTCCCATAATCGAAGCAGAGAGCAGAGCTCAGCACCCAGCCCTCAGGTGCTGCGAGGCAGACTCTGCTGCCCCCGGGAGCTCCTTCTAGGAGGTCTGCACCTCTTGGGATGGGATGATCCCCTTGGACAGTGACAGCCCTCCTCAGGGACCCTCCCAAGGCCCTCCAGGATGCTTCTGGGCAAATACCAGGTGGACAAGGCTGCTCTCCCGCCTCAAGGGAGTGCACACAAAACTTCCCTGGTATTAAAAGAAAATGCAAAGTGGAGAGAGAGAACAAAGAGGTCCTTGCGGATTCTTCTCTTCCTATGTAAAGCCGAATGCTGGGCGTGAGAGGGAATGTCTCAGCGGACACACGGATGCAGCACGAGAAACACAACCACGACGAGGACAGTCCTCCATGCAGGCCGCTGCAAGGTGCACGGCTCAGATGTACACGGGCTGCTCCTGGGCTGTCAGCAGCCTGTACATGGCAGCTGGCATCGTCTTCATGTGAATCTGAGGGCAGACACCACACGTTAGCGGGGGCTGGGTTTAGGGGGCCGCAGGGAGGGGCAGTGCCTCTCACCACAGGGGGCTTTGAAGATATCCACCCCCACCCCCATCGCCACCACCACCACCCAGGACCTGACCCAGGATGGCCTCTGGGAGGAAGAGAAGCCGCAGGCTTTCTAACAAGTTAGGGAGACAGAAAATGAAAATAGGTGAAGCTCGTTTTCCCAGTCACTGCACTTGTTCTCACCAGGCCTTCCCAAAGCACAGGACTCGAAATGGGAGCACGAGGCTGGGCTTCCAACCGCTCCTGCCTCCCCCACCTCTCTCGGCCGGTACAGCAAGGACACGCCCCAGCCCTGAGACAGCAGTTATGACCGGAGGCGAGCGGGTGCCAGGGGACGCCTCTGGAGGACCACTCTGCTGAGTAGACTGGAACCTAAGACTTAAATCTTCCCAGCACATTTGGTGAGATCAACTGGGAAAGTGGAGAAAACTTGGGCAGCCACAGAGAAAAGAAATTCAAATCTGAGTGTTCAAAGAGACGTGAGCAGATGGCACTGAAGAGAAGGCTGACGGGGACGTGCCTCCGTCTCGCAGAGGCTCTCAAATGCGGCCACTCGTTAATCGGTTTACCATTTGGTCAGAGACAGGCCATCTGGTTACTGATGAGCGTTTAGGATTGGAGAGGACACTCAGAAAGGCTCCCTGGGGGGTCTGTGCAGCACCAGACGACACCTCAGCCCCCTGCAGCCCCGGCCCTCGCTCCTACCTCCCCGACGGCATTGGAGAGAATGTGGACGATCTTCTCGTGGGGGGTGGCCACGACGCTCTGCCCGGTGATTTCAATGATGCGATGTCCCACGCGGACGCCGCCTCTCTCAGCAATTCCCCCTCGCATGAGGCTGCAGATCTACCAGAGCCAAGGGCCGAGTTACACCTCACGGGCAGCACAGCTTCTCAGAGAACCGGCAGTGACAGAAGGCTGTCTTTCCAGGAACCCCGTCCCTAACACTCTCATCTCAAAGGTTAGGCTTCAGGCATTTAAATCTCTTAGGTTGTTTTCACAAGAAACAGGTCCTGTAGGCCCACCAGCCAGCTCGTCATGCAGTCTGCACAGAGAACGGAGCCCACCGCTAGCCTTCATGCACACTCAATTCTGACTGCTTTTCATCTCCCCACTGGGTCTGGGTGGAAAGAGCTGCTTGGGCCTGTCACAGAGCTGCCAGTGTTTTCAAACTGTCAGCCTGTGTAACACAGGTTAGAAGTACTTTCCACAATCACAACTGGGGCTCAAACATGGAACTGTTTAATGCAAGCAGCCCGTCTTTTAGCGTCACAATTGCATGAGCCAAAGCGGGGCTGGAACCCCACTTTGTGTTCTAAAGTGTGGCCAGCTATGGGGGGAGCTGCTCCTTTTGGCCTTCTCAACTCAGCGGCCCTTGCTCGGGCTCCGTTCTTACAGAAACAACAATGCACCTGTTTTCCTGATGGCACAGCCAGGCCCCGCAGTGCACAGAGGCTGCAGGCAGGCACCGGCCCCATGAGCCCCCCAGGGCTATGGGATACAGCCACCCCCACCTCACACACACACCATTGTGAATTCTCCCAAAAGGACATGCTGGAATTTGCTAAGGTGACTTTTCTTTCCAGACTGTGCATTTTTATTTAAAAGCTGATGCAGACAAGACTGCAAGCAACATCTTGCAGCCACGTGCCGTGTGCACCTGTGGGTGAGTGGCCCTCCAGTCCCTCAGGGTCTCGGGGTCAAAACATTCAGGGTCAATACATTAGGTACTTTACATACTTCAGAGAAAACCAAGGGTCTTGACAGACCCACATGTGTTACAGAACAACTTTGTTAATATCTGAACTTTCAATGTTATTCAAATATGAAAAAAGCAAACAAGTAAGTATAGACAGGCAGATGATGTCAGAGCAAAACTGCAGGGACTGACAGCTGCATCCCTGACAGCTGAGCTCAGCTACTCAGTACAAAGGATGAGTGAAAGGGGGCTGGACTCTCAACTCCAACTGGGAATTGCAAGGGCTCTTCTAAACCTTCAAACATACTTGGCATAAAATTTTAATGACATAGGACTATTAACTGAATGTTAAGGGGTTAAACAGAATGGGGTCTCTGGCTAGAAAGATGAATGCAAAGAGAGGGAGTGTGCAGCCCAAACCTACAAAATCCACAAGCTTACAGAGAGAGAACTGGTTTGCCACCAAAGCCCAGAACCACCATGAACCCAGAACAAGGAAAACCAGGATAAAAAGGAAGTATTATTGTTTCTATTTGGGATGAAGAAAGAAACTAAACAGAGGTGACAGTCGGTCAGCACTGCAAATGTACGTAATGCCATTCAATCGTGCACTTAAGAATGGTTACAATTGTGAATTTTAGATTATGTATATTTTACCACAACTAAAAAAGGGGGGGGGAGAAAAAAATGAGGATGTATTATTTTAAGGCAGACAACCAAGCGATAGAAAATAGTCCTTATCCCTGAAGTGCCAGTTCAGGTGAAACGGGCCAGTATGCTAAGCACAGGTAATCCATGCACAACAGCCGCTGGGCAGTGGTTCTCAGCCAGGGCTGCACACAGACCTCAGAGCTCTGAAGACCAGCTGAGCTGGGGGGACCCCACAGACACCACCCGCCAGCTTCAGCAGTCCCCAGAGGGCAGGAGGCCCTGGATGGGCACGTCCCAAACCCTCTCAGGCTGGCAGCAGAGAGGGCAACCCTGCACTGTCACAGAGACACTGGGCTCTGAGGGCTTTGGGGCTGGCCGCAGAGAGGGCAACCCTGCACTGTCACAGAGACACTGGGCTCTGAGGGCTCTGGTTCTGGCAGAGCCTTTCTCTTCCCACTTGGGAGGGCACAGAAATCCCTCCCCATAGGGAATCTGCCCACAGAGCGAGCCAAGCCTGACTTCGCCCACTCATGCCCCTCCTTGATGGTTTCTTCCAAGGAATGGACTGGCTCTAAAACAACAACAGCAACAAAAGACCAAACGTTGTGCTACATTTTGGAAAAAGGTGTGGAGGGGGTTGTACTTACAATTCCGTTCTGGACACTGAAACCCAGCTGGTAGCGAAGATCTGGTCTTCGGATTAACACGGTGGTTACTGGAGGACATCTCACAATATTCAGCTTCACTCGGGATTGATTCTTTAAGCCCTTAAACGGGAATAAAGTACAGTGGATATGGAGACGATTGAGGCAGACAGAATACATAAAAGCAGAGGGCAGCAAAGGAAAAAGCAACCCTAGCGAGTACACTATAGGCTGCAGCCCCAAGTGCTATCAGCCCAGGGGGCAAACCACACGGTTCAGGTGAAGCACTTCAACCCTCGCAGAGATCGGTTTCCTGAGGGCACTGTCTTCATTTTGGGAAATGAACTGTGTTCGTGGGATCTGGTAAGAGTGGTCGTTGTGCAACTACGAGGAGAAGTGTCACGTGCTTTTTGGCTTGAAAGGTGAAGGATGCACACTCTCTCCCAGTAAGGAGAGAGACAAATGGGAAATGGACTTTTTCTCTGAAAGGCAAACTGTAGCAATGCTCTTTCCTAACAGAGGATGTCTAATTTGCAGCAACTGGCCTGATTCATTGGGGCTTGTTTTCTCTGGTCTCCAATGCTCCTCTTCCCCATTCTGCCTGTTAGAGATTTTATAGCTTATTCACATTCCCACAGCCACTGGGGACTCCAACCAGTGTGTGCCTCCTTGATAGAATGGAGAGGATTGTAGGACAGGTGTTGATGGAGAAAGGAGAAGCATTAGACTTGAAGACTGTCTGTGGCTTCATGAACCCTGTATCCCTCCCTCTGAATCAGAATGCATCGTAGAGCAATGCTGGTCTTTTAGTATAAAGGGGGACAGGTTTCAGAGCTTAGAGAGCTTCCTCCACCCCACTGTGGTCTAGGCTGAGCTCAGGCTCATGCTTCTGTCCTCGGATCACACTCACAGCACTGACAGAAGCCCTGGTCGGCTCAGGAGCATCTCCTTGAGAAACCATCACAGAGCTACACTTCCCTCACTCGGGGTGGGAAGTGCTCCCACAGGTCCTACCACCAACTTGTCACTTTACCCTGAGAGGAGGGTGCCAGGCAAAAGTAACCCAGCCCTCAAGTACACATCCATCTTCCAGGTCCCCCCAGACAGCCTGCTTTGCCTCCACGAGGTCCTGCTTGCTGGACAATGCAGGCGGAATCGCCCACAGCAGGTGCTTCCTGACCTGTTTCAAATCATGACATGGAGAGAAAATGATCTAGTTTGCACACTGGGGTAAACAGACCACATTGTTGTAACTGGAGGCCCTGCTGTCCCTGGCCCGGCTTTGAGAACTCAGGCAGAAGAGATCTCAAAACTCCAGCAGGAAGCACCTGCCCGACTGAACACCTAGCAAGGCCAGCTCAAGGTCAGCTACAGTCCCTCTCTTCCAAAGGGCCAAAGGTGAAAGGAAGTGTTGGGAAAAATAGAATAGGGCCCCTCGCCTCGGGTCTGGTTGGGAGTGGTACAGCTCATTCTTTGTAAGCAAGTTGTGTGAGGGTGGAGTTAGTGTGTATGTGTGGTGCCACCTTGGCTGGCATCTACTGCCTAAGGCGGCTGCCACCACACACAGCCATGCTCTTGAACCTATGGCTCTAAGGACCTTTTGGCCATTATCTAGCTCATAGATCTGCATGTGAGGGGTCTGGGGACCCAGCCTGGAGTGTTTAGGGTTTATGAGGGGTCTGTGAGCTCCAGACCCAGCCCTAGCTCGACAATTGGCCCAGTCGGCAGGATAACAGGCAGGTAAAAGTAGTGCTATAGAGAGAAACCAGTCTTAAAAGATGGTATGGCAGGTGGGTGAGCAACTTCTCCTCCAGGAGAAAGCAGTCACCAGAGGAGGGACAGGGAATCTGGGAAAAGGTGGGCTCTATCCTCTCCAAGTCCTTGGTATCCCCTAGAGACAACACCTAATCAACTCACAAATGGATCCAGCCTGTGCCCCCTGCAGTCACAGTGGAAAGAGAGGCCCGGGGAGCACGCTGACATATCCACAACAGGTACACATGAAGCCTGAGTGTTTGCTACTTATTCTTTAATAGAAATCTGCAAGTTCCACAGCTGCTGCTGATCGTCACTGGACCAGTCTGCAAAATCCTTTCTGTGGGAGGTCAAAACATTTCACATTTTATAGATGGGAACCTGCTTTGTCCAAGGGCTTTGCGGGGTCAGAACTAGGGTTAAGGATGCCCTACTCAGGACTTTCCTTCCCTCACAAGCACCTGGCCAGGCAGAGAGGTAACACTGGTGTTAGATGACTTCAGTGCAGACAGAATTGGTGGCAAGAGTGCGACTGGCTTCTCTGAGTGGCAGAAGCGAACCACATACCTTTTGTTTCTAAGTATGGATGGTATGCTTTAGATTGAGGGGCAGACAGGGCCTCTGGTTATCTGGCTTCACTAAGCTTGGTCAATGAGTATATGCCAGTGGTTCTCAAAGTGAGGACCCCAGGGCAGCAACACCTGGCATTTCATTAGAAATGCAAATTCTTGGCCCCACAGCAGGCCTACTGAATCAGAAAATGAAGGCTTGGGACCCAACAGCCTGTGCACTAACAAGTCTTCCTGGTGATTCTGATGCACACTCAATTTTAAGAACTGGTGTAGACTACCACCGCAGAACAGTAAACAGTAGCCTCACCTGCACCCAGGAGACAATTTCTCCCCAAGTATGATTAGACAGAAAGATGCCGGTTTACAACTCATTCCTGCAGCCAGTGCTTTAATGAGATCAGGTCCTGGAAAGGCTGGGTGGGGGTGACAGCTTGTGGGAGAGTTGGTCAGACCAGTCACAACAGCCTGACTCCCAGCCAGTTACCTCCATGTCTGAGTCAGGTGTGAACACCCTTAAGATCCCTGTCCCACAAAACCCACCTGATGATGAAGCCAGCCAGGCCACAAGGACAGTAACTACTTGTCACTGAACACTGACCCTTGCTTGGCAATGACTGGAGATTCACAAGATCTGTCTCATTTAATCTTCCCGACAAACTGGCAGCTATAATTATCCCCATTTTACAGAAGAG